AAAAACTTTTTCATGTAAAATACCTTATTAAATGACCTGGGGAGAGGCAAARGTGGAATAAGGAAGGATATTTTGAACAGTAACTTATATATTAAGAATTCACAGAGTTCTCATGAATTTTAGAAAATACATACTATTCCTTTGTGCTTTGTGGGGCAGTATTTGGCACTGCTATTACTGCAGAAATATGAATGGCTACACGCTTTTTTCCCCTGGGTGAAACTGGGCCCATTGCATGTAAGCTTGCAGCACATTCATATGAAAGCAGCACTGTGTGGTTTACACACATAAATTTAATGAAAATGCAGGAGAAAGTCTTATTGACTTTCTTTTTCCCTTTTGGTTTACTGTATGTGAAAATACAGTCCCCCTTCCAGTCCTGCTGGAAGCTTTTCCTGTAAACCTAAGTATATCCTATTTTTGTACACTAGTCTTTTCTGTAAAATTGATTATTTCTCATTTTATACATATTACAGTAATTTCTCAATGCTTACAAATGTAATTAAGACCTAGTGGGTTAAGGCACATGCACAAATAGTAGGGAGGGACATGTTCTTAAAGCCCTCAGGATTTTTTTTTTTTTTTAAATCCCTCCAAGCATGGACAAAGAGTGAGAAGGACATGATATGATTTGGCCCAGGCCACGCAGCAGGTTAGTGACAGAGTTTGAGGGAAAAGCTGCTTCCCCCAGACAGCAACTGAACCTTGGTAGAGTGCCCCGCTTCTCACTTGTCATTTCATATCCTGATTCTGGAGTGACCTCTTTGCTGCTTTCCTATTTCTACGTATGAAAAAAATGTATATAATCTAACTATATGCCACTACTTACATAAAATATATATATATATATATGTATTTTCCTAGCTTTTCTAAAGCAAATTAAAATGAAGTAGACTCTTTACCGCTTGATTGTGCATGGTGGGAGAACAGCTCCTTGAAACTCAGTTGAAGATGAATTAAGGTCATTTTCTGGAGAAATTGCAGAAGTGTATAGGATATGCAGAGGATATTTAAGTGGGTCAAATCTCTTTTACAATGTCTTTCAGACCCAATTAAAGTTCACTAAGTTAAATAAGAAATCTATCTTTAACTTAATAATGGGTGGAATTTAAATCTTTGTTACCTATAAAAACTTTTATGTGGTAGCCTACATCTATTCTATAGGTGAGAGAAACAGTAGAAAAGATACTCAAACAGAGACTAGAATACTTGGACTGATGAATAAAATGAAAACATGGCCTTAGAGTTCACACTGAACTGATTATTTTCTATTGCTAAAGACAGCTGTATCTGCTAATTTTCTGATATGTGTGAGTAGATCTCTGAGCAGTAAAGAAGTGTTTGTACTTTTGAGTGAACAAAACATTGCTGAATTTATATTAATTTATATTTTTCTGTGATTTTGTGGGTTAAAACATGAATTTGATTATAAGAGAAAAACAATTTATAAGAGAGTATGCCACACAGCTTTTACTTTCAGGGAAAAAATAATTTTCCTGGAGTACCTGTGCTTGCTGGAGATAGGCTGTGTGATCTTGAGTATATGCAATCTGTTGAGTCTGTTTTGCATCTCAGTTACTAGACAAGGCAATCTGTGTGGTTTTGAGTTGAGAGCTGAGCACAATAGCAGGTTTGAAACCCAATTCTGAGAGTATTCAGATCTTTTACTTTGTAAATTACTGTGAAGCTTGCATCTTCCTATTATGCCTATGTCACTGGATGTAAAATGCAAAGAATTATTTTAAACATACTGTAATATTATGCATTTATATTATTTAGGTTTTTCCTGTTTGTGTTATTTGAACATCCACACCCCCTGAGAAGGGAGTATTTGTTTAGTGTTGTAATTTTCCCCATGCTTAGCTTTCTAATAAAAATATTAACAATTCCCTTCTAATAAAAGTATTAACAATATGTCTTAAAATATGTTGTTTTCTTTTCTTATCCATTTTTAGCCCAGTGATAGTTTATTCAGTATTTCAGAGAAAACAATGGCTTTTGTTTGCCCAGACCCGCTGTTTTCATTTTCCTTAGAAAATTAAACTGTCCGAAAGAATGGCATAGCAGGCAAAATGTGCATTACCTACACACTGCTGCTCTCACTAAAAACTACATAGAAATGTTGTGTTTTATTATACTGCACTTATCCAATTTTACTGAAAACTGCTGGTTAAGATAGTGCTAATGATCCTTGGCCTTGCAAAGATGACATTCTTTAGCCTGCAAGCCTCACTAAGGCAAAAGTCTTCAGCTTTCTTCAGTGACTTTATCAAAGTTCTGCAGGTGTCCCAGAAAGCAAGACTCCAAGGACTGGATGCACCCGTTCAAATGCTTCTCTTTCTTCTTCCCCTCAAAACTGTTTTTGATCCTACATGAAGTTTTTTGAGGAGATGAAATCATACTTTGCTTTCTAATGAAAAGCAGATGACTGGCAAAAAAAAAAAAAAAAAAAAAAAAAAAAAAAAAAAAAAAGCTGAAGACAGTCAAAGAAAGGAATGAATGAACAAAACACTGCCGAAGAGTTGAAATAACTCAACAATTTAAGCCACTGAGGAATGTACATCGAGTATGCAGTACAAAATACTTGCACTGTCAAGGACTATAATGAAAGCTTAGCTTTCAAGAGGACCTTTTCAGGTAGTGCTTCTCCTTTGTTTGCAGAACTTTTATGCTTATTCTCATGTTTTAGAGAGATTAAAAAAAAAAGAAAAGAAAAGAAAAAGAAAGCTGGTTGTTTGAGAAAGAGCTCTGAAATAACTTCAACAATGCGAATTCATGTCTGCTTCAAAAGATCTGGCAAGAAAATACCACTGAGCAGAAAAAAATCTGCCACTGAGCACTTTTTTTTTTTCCCTGTGGGTGGGTTGATATTTATTTTTGGCAGTTCAAGCGAGCAGTTATCACGATTCGTACATCTGTTTGTTTGCATCTTTGCTGTTAATTATTGTGTGACACTAAAGTTCGTGTAGTTACTCACTGTTTACAGAGTTTAGACTTTATATAGTAAACATAATGTGGTGAGCTTCTGAGAAATAGTGCTTCCGCTCAGAGAAAAAAATGCTCAGAATTCCTGTATTTGTAGGTGTGTGTAATGTTTCATTGCTTGTATTATGCTTCATTGTGGTATGAGTTATGATTTAATGCAAATAGCAATGAGCATTATATTATGTCACTTATAGTGTTGAGCATTTGTCCCAAAAGCTGTGTGGGAAGGATCAAATTTTGCTTCTCTAAAAATAATATTCAATCATTTGATTTTTCCAAGAACTTCTTTATAATTCTCTTAAATTTGCTTTGGCAATATTCTCATTCTCTGACAGTCATATTTCTGTCAGTGTCTATCCTTGATTTAGCTGTGAAAACTCTCAGGGCAACATTGTCTCATGCACAAAGTAGATAATTTATTTGGCCTTTTTTTTTTTTTTTTTTTTTTTTTCTTCCCTCAAAGCCAAAAAGTTGACTGCGAATGTGTCATCAAGTCACCTCACAGATGTCCAAAGTCCTCATACCAGGATATATCCTTGGGTTGCAGATGTCACTCAATCACGGACCTGCCTTTCTAGTCATTGAACTTTAATAGATCTTACAGGCTTGAGTAACAAACAAGAGCTAAATTGGCTCAGTGCCTGTGTAACTGCCAAAGACACGAAAACAAAACAAAACAAAATTGTAAAATAACACTGGGAACATTAGGAAACTATTCGTCTCCCTTCTTATATGCCAAACCCTGCACCAAATGTGGCCAGATTTCACAGCGCATAGGACCATAAGTCCACCCAGGTRAATGCTGAAGATTAGAGAGGCTGAGGCATCACATGATGCTCAGCTAAATATAAGCAGCAGCTTGCTTAGTGCTCAGGTTGCTGAATGTTGAAATTGGGTTGGAAGAGCAATTTGCAGTCATTCTGCAATGCTGTCAGTCTCGGGAATTGCCAGGCCATGTTCCTTTCTGTGCCTTTTAGGTGCATGGGATTTGGAAGCACAAAAGGAAAATGAAATGGGTTCCTGAAATAGATTGCATGAATCCATTTGAAAAATGACACGGCAGTGCAGGATATATTAGCATCACATTTTTTTCCTACTAAGAGTGTTTCAGAGCCATAAATATTATGCCGCAGTTGGCATACTTTCCTCACAGAGGTCTTGCACTGCAAATTCATGAGTATCTCATTACAGCCCAACACACAGATATCTCTGAGCAGTAGAAAAGGATGCTTKTCTTATAATTAGGCCTTCAAATAGGCACAAAAATGCTGTTAGAAGAGCCTTACGGTCGAAATAACTAAAACCCCTTGGATGTGCAGAAGAWAATCTTATCCCTTAAAGCTGTTCTTTGCCTGACTAGAATTGGTATTTGGGGCTTTTCAATGATTTGAAACTTGATTACCTACTTTACCACCTCTGCCTTAGCCCTGGTGTTGTTTCACAGTCAGTGTGTGTGTAACTCAACTTTCCAGCATGGGCAGCAGGTTTTGCTGGTGGGGTCGCTGTCTCTGGCATGYATTGCCTGCAATGAGCTGGCCCTTGAACGGCTTCTTTGAGTACTGCAATCCTTGTTTGCTTATTCCTGTTTTTTGCTTGCTTTGTCATGTGCTTATTTTTAGTAGCAGGATTCCTTTGTGGCTGTGCAGCTGATAGTATCGTGCTGTATGTGTTGCCTATTGGATGTYCCGTTTAGATTTAAATCATTGTAAGTGTGTAGATGGCAGAATCTGTAAGTGCTGGTAGGTCAGTAAGCACACAAACACTTCTGTGTAGGAGCTAGATAGAGTAAGGGCTTTTTCCAGAGCAGTTAGCCATGTTTGGTTGTCAGAATYATGTTCATCTTTCTGTTTGGAGTACTATTATTTTTTTTCCAATAAATAAAGTCTACTTATGTGGTAGCTAAATCAAAATAACAATTAATAATGCTGCTTTTCTGTTCATTTTGAAGTAACACTAGTTCAGCAAGCTCCTGTTTTCTACAGCACTGATATTCTATTTTGTTTCTTTTCAGGCTGAGGAATCTTGTAAGTGCAATGGCTGGAAAAACCCCAATCCTCCTCCTACTCCTCCTCGGGCAGACCTGCAGCAGGCAGTCGTCAGCCTCACCGAGCCGTGTCGCAGCTGTAGCCACGCGCTAGGTATGCTCTTGGTTTCTCTTCGAATCCAGAGGTTTACACCCRGAAGTCTCTTCTGTTGTAAGATAAAATTCAAGATGACATGTCAGGACCTTGAAAAGATRTTACAATTGAACCTAATTGTCAGTTAATTTTGATAAAAATATGTTGAATAAAGTCTAAGTTTTTTTTTTTTTCAGAGAAATTGAACTGAGATACAGCTTCTAAAAATATATAACCTAACTTCCAAAAATCCWTATCTTTTAACTTGTTAAAATGCAAATGCATTGTCAAGCTACCCAATAATTGTAATCTTTTATATAACATCAACCTCACATTTTCTTCATCTGCCAGGTGCTTTAGTTTCTCCTGTCATGGATATAATCTGTATTCCATTTTCTTGCTATAGAGCAAACTGTAAAATATTCTGGGATGTTGTTAAAGCAAGTACTCTTATCTGCAGAAAGAACTGTGTCTTTCCTGCATTACAAGCAATGATACTGCAGTTGTACATCTTCAGATTGTCTAAGTTATTGTGCAGACAGCTTGTGTAACGTGGAAGCAACTGCTCAAAATCCACTGCAAACTCTTTTTTTTCCCCTACTTTCTTTCTCTAGGCAGACTAAAATAGTGATTATTTTTTACTTGTGTAGTTTTGCATAGTCGTAGAAAAAGAATGAGGCATCTTTCTCACTTTCTGTTTAAAAAAGCTGTAGTTTTCCGGAGAAATGGTGATGACTATTTACTTAATCTATAATAAAATTTGAAACAACTTGTAAAGAAGCAGTGTTGTTTAAATTTTGGGGTTGTTGATACAACCCAGAATTCGGTGAAAAGTGAAATAGGGAGAAGGAATGTAAAATTATTGCAATATGCTATTTATATATTCATTTTTGAAAATAGTAATGCACTTTGGGTGGAATTATTCAACCTATTTTTTTGGTATGGAATTTGTTTCCTCCTTTTTGCTCTCTTTTCATTGTATGCCCTCATTATGTTTGATCTATTTATGGGCCTTTCAGTGATTTACTTCCCTTTCCTTGTATCCCAGATTTATGGTTTTGCTTGCAGAAGATTATCAAATGCATAACATTAGAGAGAGTTCAGTGACTTAGCCATTTTACTTATTCAGCTTTTTATCATGCAATTTCTCTGAGCTTTGGTTTTGCGGTTGCAGTAGTATATGTAATCCATCCCTTTCATTCCTGGCCTTTGAAGACAGAAGATACTTTTTTTTTTTTTTTTTTTTTTTTATGTTGGAAGATATTTTGTTAATATACCTTGCAGAGCAAACTGTAATTTATTTACTTCAACTTTATTGCTGTTTGTAGAAAAAGTAAAGTTCCTTATTCTGCCAACTGCAGCTAATGAGGATGGTGCTTCATTGGGAATAACTGAAATGAGTTACTGCCTGCTTCCTYATAGAACAGACAAAAGAAAATAAATGTCTTTCAGCAGTATTTTCCCAGGTAGTTTTCCTATGCRTCTCTAAAATAGTGTGTTCCTCTTCAGTGTCTTTGAAAACAGAATGACAAACATGTGCAAGCTCCTGCTACTGCATTTTCTCATCCTCAGAGATTTTGAAATGGCTGTGGATTCCTCTATAGATTAGCTCTAAGAAATAAGATATTAGAGTTTTGTTTGTTTGTTCATTTTCTCTTCTTCAGAAACTGACCTTAGGCAGCCTAGTGCATTGTCGTACTCAAGAGACCTTTCTGGAGTTGATGTGTTCCTTAAAATGGTGCAGCAAAAGTCTATTTAGTGGTGCCAAGTTACACTTATTTCTGTTTACCTATGCACAGTATGCATTCTTTCACCAAAGTAATTACAATAGTTGATGTGCATAACTCATATTGCGATGCTCACAAGTACTGCCTATTAACTGAGACCTCTCAACTTATTGTGGCACCAAAAAGTGCTGGTCATTCCTTCTGTGACTGCCTTTTGCCCTGCTCCTTGTCATTGCTCCAGGGTTTTCTGACTCTTGGACTCCTCTTCTGCYCCTGGCACCTCAGTTTCGCCACTGGACTGCTTCTCATGGCCTTTACTTTGTGGTCTGCATTTCCTCAGTCATACAGCCTGGTTCTGTTCTGAATTTGTTACCGATATTTCTTTTATCTGGGTAATGCGTCAGGTCACAAATGTAATGCTGTGAACTGGAAACTGAGCTGTGGGAATGGGAGAACTTGACATACAGCAGCCTTGACATACTTGACATACAACAGCCCAGGTGTTTATGTATGAGAGACTCTTCTCTCTTTGGTATTTAATTGCTTTCTTCTGTGCTATAGGACATGTTTTCCAGTCTTAGGTCTATTGTACCTTCTTAAAACTGATTGATTAATCTCTTCTTGATACGATCTGTTGGGTTCCTGTTCTACACCTATGTGTAACATTTTGAGGTATTTTATTTACCAGTCCTTCTTCATAGTTTGCTAATGTTTTTATGCAGACATTCATTAATTCTGAGAAAGACCGCAAGTGTCTTCCTCATTACTCTGTTTCTTAAGGACTTTTTATTCATACACTATACACATACACTTTATTACTGAAGTTGCAAAACCGAAATAATTAGCTTCCTATTTTTCAGGTCTTCATTTTATTGCATTGCCCTTGTGTGTCCACTTTCTTTCTCCTGTGCAGTAGGAACTTATTAAAAAAAAAAAAGAAAAAAAAATCACAATAAGTTCAACTGCAGCTAAGGAAAGATGTACAGTTTGGACAGTGCAGATTAATAGGGTTGTCTAACTCAAGTCAAGAATGGCACAGTGTTTGATGTTAGTATACTAAAGCTTTTACTTTAATGAAAGGTTTAATATCAGCCACAAGAATCTGGGAACAAGCTATGAATATCTCAAGTAAGATAGTTTGTTGGACTGATGTACAAGACTGTGGTAAATGATCACCTGTAGTTAATAGAGGCTGGTAATACTCTTGGCCTATGTTGCTTTTAGATTCATTGCATGAGTATTAATTCTAGAGAAAAATATCTTATAAATTCCAGAGCAGAATGTAATATTAGCTCCAGAGTATGAGTGAACGTTCAAATGTGGCCATGAGTCTTCTGAGTCAAGGTAACTTTCAGTAATTTTGTGGAAAATGATTGGAAATGGCTTCTCATGCTGATGCTTTCTCCATTTGCTAGTTGAGTTCAAGACTTCCTTCTATGTTATCTAATGCAGTGCTTTTCTTGGAGGGAATTCATTACCTTAACAAGATCAGTACTGACAGCTGGGATTATTAAACTTTCATATCTTGTTCAAGGGCTGAAATGAAATCATTCTATTCTGCCTAGAATGCTGAATATTTGTAATTAAAGAAAGCTCACACTGACCATCTTGCTCACAGAGGGAATTGTTAAGAGCTTAAGAGATTATATCACAAATGMTTATTTAAGTGGAAATGAATACAGGTACCTTTTTAATATTCTGAGCTATAGAAGCTGTTGTTTTTATTTGAAGCTGCACAAAATTGTTGAATTTAGATGTTTTGACAATGTCGTACCACACATACCAAAACAAACATCTTTGCTGAGTGGCCAACAGAAGTGATCATTTTCAAGTCAAATCTATTTCTCACCACTTCCTTTCTCCTAAAGGAATCAGATTTGTGTTGAAAATGTCTTACGAGTCATAACAACAATGTTATATCTAAAATGATATGTTAACTATGCAGTAAGTTATTACTGGTAAAAGATATAAAAATTAATATGCTTAGTCTTTTCAATCATTTTCCTTTGGTTTTAAAGGACATTTTCTTGTCATTTCATGGAAAAAGATATGCATACTATTTGCATTGTCTTTGAGTCAGCTAAAATTATTACCTATTCTAATGTAAATGTCTTGTTCCAGGAATAGATTTTTATTTTAAATTTTCTTCTCTCTTCCTGGGGCTAGTTGTTCAAACGAGCTTTGTCCCCCTTTGTCCCTCAAACCTCAGAAAATTGCAAATGTAGAACTACATTTGCCTTTGGGGCTGACAGGAATAGTTAGTTACTTGCAAAATATGAAATATTGAAAGATGTTTCTCAACAAATGGGCATGTGTAACCTGCAAAAGCTTTGTCAACCTAGTGTGCACAAAGCATCACTCCAAATTACTGAGCTCATTTATTTTTTCTTTGTCATTTTCACAGAGCACGGTGCTACTTGTATCAGCAGATGGGTTTTGTAACTGAAGGGGATGGAATTAAGAAACTTTGTCTCAAAAGCATAGCAGCTCTTGGGCAAAATTCTCTCGAAGTAGTTACTAATATTACAACGTATGAATACAGACACACAGGACTTTAGATTGGCTTTCCTGTGGATGCGCACTGTGATTCCAGGCAATCATCTGTGGGAATTGCCATCTTTGGCCTGTCTTTCCAAACTGCTGAGGTATGACATATTTGAGGAGCCTCTAATAACAAGTTCTGTTGTTGAGGCTATTTCAGGGTCTGTACCCTCACAAATTATGTCAAAGTTCCAGATATTTCAGGCAGTAGTTACGATTTTGGTTCTTGCAGGCTTTTTACAGGTTGGCTTGTTTTATTATTTTGTGTAGCTGCTCATGTCTCTCACCTGGAGAATGTGTCTGAAGAGGAGATGAACAGGCTCCTAGGGATTGTGCTGGATGTGGAGTATCTCTTCACCTGTGTCCACAAGGAAGAAGATGCAGACACTAAGCAAGTTTATTTCTACCTATTCAAAGTAAGCTGAATTTGCATGGCAAGTTGACATTTTGTTTCATTCTTTCACGCCTATGGTAATGCACTGTCAAGTGCCCCCTTATTGTGTGTATTAGCTTTATTTTGCGAGAATTTTTCTTTGCTCTAGTGTAAAGCTATATCTTGGGCTAGACTGTGGTGCTTGCAATGTGCAGTGTCTTATGCCAGAAGTCATCCTGATGGTGTCAGCAGCTGACCCTAAGTCCCACCTGTAAACTATGTCTGCTTTCATCTACCAGCTTTGCCTTCTTCACTGACAAATCAAGAAAAGTCAGGAGACATAAATGCTAACGTAGCTGCACATGCATATACAAAGCAGCCTTTTAAATGCATTCCAAGGGGTATATGAAGCAATACACAGTGAATTAAGTAGCTATGAATTTTGATGACTAAGCTGGCAGATGCAGAGCAGATTTTCGACACTGCTTATGAAGTGTTGCACAACTGTGACTTCCACTGACCTTATGACTGCAATATGCTCATTTTCAAAAATGTGCATTTTTGACAGCTTTTGAGGAAGTGCATTTTACAGATGGGAAAACCTATTGTAGAAGGATCTTTGGAAAGTCCTCCATTTGAGAAACCTAGCATTGAACAGGTAAGCAGTGAATTTGTGGATGTTTTCATTTTTATTTGTTTTTGGAAATACAGTGCTCTCTATAACGACTGCTTTTGAAAATACAGTGTTTTAGGCAGTTTGCAAATTTGTTGTATATTACTGCAGACAAAGATTGAATCTAAAGGAGACTTCTGCTCCTCTTTTAATTTTGGTAGAATAGTTAAATTATTTGACTTCCCTCATCATTCATCTTATGTTTTAATGAAACTGGCAATTTTCTGTAGTTTTAAATAATGCAACTGAAAATGCTACTTTTGTGCCTGGCAGTTCTAATCTTTCTCTGTCCTGAGTGATGAAAAATGCTGTTGAGACTTTGAAATTCAATATTAAAATGACTTTTCTCTTCAGTGAAATCAATGAAAATGTTACAATCCAATTTAGTGAGATTATAGTCTCCTCTTTCAAAGTGTACGTAGCAGAAACCATCTGAAAACAAAGAATAACTGAAGCTTTTATAAATCTCAGTGGAAAAAGTATGCATGACAAATTCAGAGTTTGATTTACCGAGTGTCTAAAAATGCACTTTTGACATGCCAATGGACTTATTAACTCCAGTGAGGCTATGCAGAGGCTTAAATACCTCACTAAATTAGGAACTGTATGTTTTCCTGTTGCTGGATGTTAAATTTAAAATGTGAAGACTGTGTTACATGTAGTAAATACTTCCTTGCAACTATCAGTTTTTATAATTAAGTAAAATCAAGACTCATTTTTTGCTGACTTGCTACAAGGGCTTCACCTTTTTTTTTCCTTTGGTTTGAGTGTGAACAAAGGAGGAGTGTATGTAATACCATACACTACAAAGCTTTAAAAAGTATTGCTAAAAAAGTTTTGCACTATACGCACACACACGTATTGTGAATGTATGTGTGCGTGTGTATGTGTATCTCCACATTCTTCATACTGATCAATTTGCCTAGGAAGGTAAAACATTAAGATGAAAGGGTAACTCATTTTACAGTTTATTTTGAAATAATTGAGACTGATATTTTCAACCCCTTGGTTTTAGCAGTACAGTCACCTCAAAGTTATTTTCTAAGCCACAGTGTTGCATGTGTTTGATAGATATATGTATTGCAGCAAGTTACTGCGGCTGCACATTTTAATTATCCTTAATAGTGTTTTTGAAATTGGCACTTTATGGAGTGCAATGAAGTGACATGCTTGTGTAATACTGGCATTTCTTGAAGAAATAATACACTCTGTAGACAAAAACTTTTGCAGAAGTCACTGAACTTGAGTCTACTATTAAAAATAGCTGGAGAGGTTTTTAAGTGGTGAAAAAGTGTATTCGTTGTTTACAGAGGAAAATAATAAAACATGCAGCATGGTTATCAGCAAAATTTTGCAGATGGAAGCACATAAAATAGAGACCTTTTGATTTATATTTCCTGTCAAAAGTTTTTGGCTTTGAAAAGCAAGAGAAAATATTTTTTTCTCTCTCCCTCTACCTCAACTGCTGAAATAGAAGGAAAGAAAAATTGGATGGACCTGTACAGGAGAAGTTGTTTGTTGCAGTTACATATGCAACAGCAAGGAATTAATTTTCCCATGTCTGTTTTCTTTCCCATGCAATACAAGTTCAGGATTAATAGAAGTGAATAGTGTTCAAGGATATGCCTTCTAAAAATATTTTAAAATAATTGAACATTGTTTTCTTTTTCTCTTTCAAGGGTGTGAATAATTTCGTGCAGTACAAATTCAGCCATTTGCCCTCAAAGGAAAGGCAAACAATAGTTGAGCTGGCTAAAATGTTTCTGAATCGCATTAACTACTGGCACTTGGAGACTCCTTCTCAGCGAAGACTAAGATCACCCAATGATGATATTGCTGAGTATAAAGTGAATTATACCAGGTAATGATGCTTTTGCATATTGAAAGTCTGGCTTACAACTGCACTGCACAGGAATTTCAGGAATACACCAGTACCCATGAATCATAGTTGAGCCTTGTGAATTCTTGTAGTCATTGACCACTGGAGTTTTACACACACTTTTCTTTGTAGGGCATGTGTTATCAGCCAAGAACATGAACAGGGGTCTGTGAGCCATATCTAACAATTTTGTAGTGACTCTTGTGCTTGCAAAGGTGTTTTCCCTCTTATTAATATATGTGCCTCATAAACTCCTTATTTCATGTACTAAAGTTCAGGAAGGCTGCTATTCAACTTAAAATGAAGCAAAGAGACAAATGAATCATTAAAAGCATCGGAGRCTGAAACCAAACCACAGCAGACTTGGAAAATGAAAATGATTTCACGAGTGTTTGAGTTATGAATAACTATTAGATATTATTGGGCTCCTTAAAATGGTAGTTTTATATGTTCTTTTAATACTTTATTTAGAATTTGAAAGAAGAACTTCATTGCTGGGAGAAGAGGAGCTAGTATAAAAAATATGTCTTTTTAAAGTTTATTTTTGTAATAAAAATATCATAGTAACTTTTTCACTTAATATAAAGTTAATGTCTCTAGAAGCAAATATGTTCCTAGTGCTGGTTAGAAATACTTTTTTCTGGATGACAAAGAGTATGTACTTACATCCATTTTCTGGTGATTTTTCTCCTGAAAAACCTAAGCTCCATAAACTATGTCAGTAAAAGCTGATTTGAGGCCATCTTTGGTAGCAGTAGAGCTTTCTTTTGGCTCTTTATTATCAGATCAATAAAAATCTGTGTTGCTAGTATTTATTCATTCTGCTGGTTCATGTAATTTTGAAAAAAATATAGAAGATTAATTGCTTATTGGTGAACCCTCAATGGCAATAAAACCAGTCTGGGCAGCATTAACCCAGCGAGATTCATCTCTGCAGCACCTGAGTTGTCCTAAGCAGCATGGCATGACATGCTGAGTCATTTGAACAAAATGTGGTAGTTTTCCCAGATGGTCAAGATCACATTTGTACTGTTGGAAGATGTGCCATGCATGCGCCATACACATGTGTCTGGCATTGTAGTCGTGTGCAGACATGTTGCTTCAAGTAAGTACCTGGCACAAAAGAGGGTTGTTGATAATCTAATGAGACCCTTAGATTTGTGCTTGGTGTGTTTTTTTTCCTCCATTTGTTTGTGATAGAGATCCCTGGTATTCCAAATCAGTAGGATTCAGCTTTTATTAAGAATCAATAGTTGACATTGGGCTCCAGATGGTGATTTTATTGCTAATTATTTTGTCAACTGCAGTTTCTGAAACCTTCATACTCACAGTTGCTAAAGCTCCTGCAGTGCTGCCTCTTTTCATCTAATTCTCATTTTAGTTCAAGCTTCCCCCTTTCTGCAAACACGCTTCCCACTGTATTGCTAGAGGCATTGCTATGGCTGCAAAGGAAACAGCTCTGCAGAAGGTAATAATTTGAGAGAGACTTTAGAGAGACACTGCTGTGGATCTGGATGAGAAAAACACAGTGCAAAATCCAGCATCCGTTTACATGCAGATATCCAATTCTTTATATGTATATTTTCTTCTGTCATGGATAAAGTTTTGGTAATGGTTGCTATCTCATTTTTTTAAAGCTTGAGATGCTGTTGAGACTCTGTTCACTCCTACTTGGGTATTAGAATCTCAATTGTAGAATTAACAGATACGGTGACCCAACATAATGAGGGTACTACAGATTCTCCTTTTCAGTACTGTGGTCCCTTTCTCAGAACATTAACAGGACCTTATATACAATGCGAAACTCATTTTGTGGGGAGACAGTAGTAAATGAACGAGTATCAGGTCAAGCTGTAATAGGAAGAAGCTGGTTGGTRGGAGGCCAGGTTGGAAGTGCAGTCAGATTGGGTTGGAACTAATTAGAAATGTCTCCTCCTCTGCATACAGCTAGGAAAATGTGGGAGTTKAAAGAGTAGAAAACAAGGCACAGAGCAGGCTGAGGGTGAAATCTTTGGAGCCACAGTCAGGTGCAGGAGGCCAAATGAATGAGTTGTGGAGAAAATGACATCAACATGAATTTTGTGCTATATATAATTGCTGTCTGGCCCAAGAGCACTTTGTGGAAACTAAAGTGCAGAGAAAAAGAGTATATGGAGACTTAAGATAACTTGACTGTCATTTTTCTAAAATGTTGGGCAATATAAATGCTGCTTAGTTTTGTGGACATGATATGGAGCTGATTTATACAGTCATTTATAAATGATGCAGGTAGTGGTTTCATCACAAGAAGCTATTAGTATGTATTTTAGGTGGTGGTAATTATCTGGCTTTTCTCTCCCTTACAGGTGGCTTTGTTACTGCAATGTCCCTCAGTTCTGTGACAGTCTACCTCGGTATGAAACCACGCAGGTGTTTGGTAGGACATTGCTCCGCTCTGTTTTTACTGTAATGAGACGGCAGCTACTGGAGCAGGCTAGGCAAGAGAAGGACAAACTTCCTCAAGAGAAACGAACACTAATCCTCACCCATTTTCCAAAGTAAGGGATCACAACTGAGCTGTATTCAAGGTTAACTAGGAGTTAACTTTGAAGTGGAATGAAAAGAAAAAATTAATTATCTTATCTACAGCTTCAAATAATTTGTTCGGTGGCAAATAGATATTGCATCTTTTTCTGTCACTTGAACTGGTCTATTTTATGTATGCAGTTTCTTGTAATATATTTAATGAATACATGATGACTGTTTGGTTTTGTCCTAGGTTTTTACTTTATAAGTAAAATTATTCATTGTGCCTGGAGAATTATGATCATTGCCAATGAGGATTTATTGCTGGTCACTTATATTCATTTCAGTAGTCCTTGGAAGCAACACAGATCCAGAGAGATATACAGTACAGAGAGTTGTACTGCAGCTTATTTACAATCAAGAATTTCATTTCCATTCAGCATTGTAATAGGGAACAAAGCAGTTCCTCTGCCTGCCCTCAGAAAAGGCATATTTAACAAAGAACAAAGTTGTCAATACAAAGCTGGATCTATGAACCTTAAATCAGTGACAGTTTGCTTGGGTACTGACATATGGATGACAGAATCTCCCACAATTAAACAACAATATTCCCATCTTGGCCTGCGCAGGAGTGGATTGTCTTAGGATGTCCTCAGCTTTGGCTAATGTTTTCTTGGTAGTTAAAGGAGGGGCTGGTGACTAAATCTTTCATTGTATGCTTTCTGTCAAAAAAAGTCTCTCTCTCTTCTGAAGAGACAACCTYTCTCTTCAAAAATATCCTTATTTTATGAGGATGGCTTGGCTCCCCAGTACGTTTTTTCATAGGCCTGTCCTACCTTAACACCAAAGGAACCAAGACTACAAGCAGGATGGTGACACGGGATCTAGGCAAATTGCTGCTTGGTGGTAGAGCAGCTTCATGGTAATGGAATGAAAACAAACAAGAACTTGCCGAAGTTGGATACAGTCAGCTTTTCTGTCCCTTACTCTTATTTATAATGTCTTTTACCACTTCAGGAGGGTAGACTGGATTATTATGGATGCAGGAGTGTTTGGTGTGAAAAGGGCATAACATTGTGCTTAAGCAAAGAACAGATACATGGAAGGTACAGAGGCAGGTTCTGCTTTCAGAGCAGCCATGCCAGCCCAGGTTTCCCCATGTCAGTCACTGGAGTGTGGCTGGGAGTTTCATGGTCTTTCCAGGTCTTGTAACTTGACACRACTGCAAGTGGGCACTCAGCAGCACAGGTGACTAAAACCCGCTTCACCGAGCCAGACATTAAACACTCAAGATAAAGGGGAAGCTTTAACAGAGGAGGATATTCAGGAGCGGGATTTTCCAAGCCTCTTGGTCCAGCAATGGTGATGGAAGCACGTGGTGTGCCTGGCTGTGCCCAGGAAAGCAGTCGTGGAGGGCGCAGGCTGCAGCAGCTCCTGCTCACCAGGGCGGCCTTGCTGAGGATGAGCTTGTGCCTKGGCTCCCTCAGTGGTGGTGAGGCAGCTGCTGTAAACTTTTAAGCTCGTTTAAATCTGGATGGCATCTAATATCACATCTGCTATGCTTAGGTATGAGCGTGCTCTATGTAAAATACAACAGGAGAACTTCATCCTGAATGTCCTTACTGTATTGAGAAAGTCTTACTTGAATGGTCCTGTTGATGTTGACCTGTCAGTTCTCTCTCCTGTGTAATGTGAAAGGCAGTATAAAATCACACTGTTCTTGTAAGTGTAGCCCACTAAAATTAAAAATACTGTCCTGTGAGCCCACTTGTACAACTCACTGATAGGGTTGCACACTTAAAGGAGTGAAAATGTCCTCCTAAGAGCATTTTTAATGACTAACACTGTTTGGATTTTGTAAATCTGCCTGAGGTAGAAAGCAAGTACAATTGAAAAATTTTTGTCATCATTGTATAACATCAGTATCTTCCCATTTGTGAACTTCTTCTTATTAATGCACTTTTTTTTGTTCTTTAAATTAGTTTCTGTTTATTTCTGCAATTTTGTATTCAATAATTATTGCTTATTATCAAAGAGCAATTTTCATAGGTAGAAGTACTGTACCCAGACAGATGTTTGGCCTGTTTGTTTGTTTTTTTAATTGTGTTTTCATTTCATCTGTTTTAACTAGGTTTCTGTCCATGTTGGAAGAAGAAGTATACAGCCAGAATTCTCCCATTTGGGATCAAGATTTCATGGTGTCTACTTCCCGCACCGGCCAGATGGGAATACAGACAGGTAATTTGCATTTAGCAGAGGATTGGGAAATACCTGAGATCATAAAATCTAACCCAATCCCTCTGTGCAAGTACTGAATTCTGTGCAAGATATCTGAGATGTGCAGCTTTCCTACATGTAGGCTATACTGGAATCAGTCCATGTCAAGTAGGCACAGGTATTTGATTCTCTGGTGGTGCTTCTGCATATTTTGATGGTGAAATGCAACTCATATGAGTGTGTCTGCAGAGCAGGATGCCTGCAGAGGCATGTCATCCAAGTATTCACGTGCTGCAAGTGCAATACATACTGGCAAATGAGAATAATAAGCAAGTCAGTGGCTGATATGGGTGATGTGAATAGGAAACAAATCAAACATCCACTTGCACAATAACCCTCCAGCTCTCTAGCAGTACCTTATCCTCAGAAATATATGCTTAACACACATTCCTTTGACTTTCTTGTTTTCGTAGAGCTTTTCCTTTATTTATTTCCTATTCATGTGTGCTGTGTTTACCTCATCAGCTATTTTGCAGCTATAATCACACTCAGCAGTAGGGTCAGACCTCACAGGTCTACAAGTCATCGTGAAAAATTGCAGGAAGATCATGATTTTCTTTTGTTTTCTCCCTCTTCTTCTCCTTTCTGATCAACTGTATTTGCAATTCATTTATACAGCTCAGGAGCTGTGACTTCAGTTATTAGTATGCTACGATGTGAGGCCTGGAGAAATTATTTCCATATTTTGTAACAATTGCTGAAATCAGTTCATGCTCACTGTGCTGACATTTTATCTGGTAATGGATTTTCTAGTGTAGTGGGGAAACTTCCGCTGCGACAGATAGGGATTTTTGTGAGAAATTTATGATTTRCTTCATAAACTAATGAATTTTGCCATAGGCACGTGTTCAGTACAACTATAAAAAATGTTCTCACAGAGTTCATTCTATCATATAGTCTCCAACAGTGCTGCAGATTTTAATGTGTCCTTCTCTGGCACTGGGTTCTCAGCATGAATGTAACACGAACAAGCTGTTTGTGAGGCTGGCTGTTACTGGTGATGCCATCAAGATAAACACATACAAGGAGAGAGACTGCAGGTGTTCAGAGTATGAGCTGGCACCTTATCCCCCTTACAAAGTTCTGACACAAATGAAAGATGGATATTTTGGGATGAGTGTTTTTTCTTTTTTTAATTTAGCAAGAGAGATGATAGTGTGTGGCTTTTAAAAAGCATAATTTCATCCTCTTAACTGGTGCCCCCTTTTATTGGGTTTGGTTTGTGCTGCCAGTCTTTGAACACTGTTTAAGCGGAGAGCTAAAGTTGAATGATGAGATCTTACTTTTCAATAGACTCCTACAAAAGGTCTTTTGATAAAGCTGAACACCAGCTGGCTTGGCAGGTATGTGAAGGAAGTTTCTTTTCTTAACTTGTGCCCGGCACTGCAGAATAATAAAGTCTAATATTTCCAATGAAGTAAAACCAGCTCTGTCAACCAGTTAACTCTATCAATACAGTCCCACTTTAGGTGCCAGTTTAGAAAAGTCCATTGACATGACGCTCCAGTGTCTCTGCTTGCCCACCAGTGACATTGCTTTGTTGCACAAGGTTCTCTGTTACTTTGCAGTGGGTGGCTGTGAAGTTGGGTTCATAGTAGTGTCAGTGGTTCAGATGATAGCACTCTAGTGGGTTCCTTGTCCTGAATCTTCCTGTCTTTTATGCCGTTGCAGTCATTAGTCCTCCTCCTGTTGCAAGATCTGTTTCATACAGTGCAAGCCCTTCATCTCTGGAGCAACCCAACAGTGGAAATATGAGTCCAGCTTGCAAAGTTTCTTCTGTCCTTGATCCAAACCTAGGTAATGGAGAGGGAGGGAGACTTACTTTTTGACTTCTGTCAATGTTATCAATAATTGTACATGGTGATAATTATAGATGGTGATCATTGCGTTCACTGTGCAATACAACCTGGAGGTGTTTTTACATGTTTTTTAGTCACATGCATATCTTTTTTTTTTTTTTCTGTTACTTTTCAGAAGTAACCTTTAAGTGGCAGAAATGCTACCTGTATTTAAGAAATAAACAGTTTGTTTAAATTTGATTAAAAGATTAAAGATAAGTGCCTTTGTTGTCTTGGGGGAAGAAAGACCAAAGAACTGAAATCCAGGCCCTTACACGTTCTATAACCTCCTACTGTATAGAAGTATCATCTCTGGATGAATAGTTATCTGGGTTGACCTAGAGAGACTCTAAACTTTGTTAGTGCTGCTCTAGATTACTCCGAGTAGCAGTTTTTAGAGATTAACTTCCATTCTGGGTCTCTCCAGCAGAAAGTGTCCTGTTCCAGCATTCATAAACACAAAGAAAAGGAGTCTGAAATACAGTCTTGTGTTGTTATATTGTATTGCTCAGAGAAATACTTCACCTGCAAGGCTTGTGTTGTTTAGGATTTTATATAGYTAATGCATTCTGCAGACAGACATAGTAGCAGATTCGATTGTATATTAGTATTTAAGTTGCAAATTAAATTTTGGATCAATAAGAGAACTTCAAATCTTAGTTCTTTATCAGAAAACAGTTAATTAAGAAAGTGATTAACCTCTGATTTTGGACTATTCCATGTTAGTGTTCTGCTCCCTCATTCATTGTTGCTCCTGTTTTATAAATACAATGATTTAACTATCGCTGATCATTTGATTAAATTTGTCTGTTTTTGTTTTATAGGAGAAAAGAGGAAAAATAATGAACCTTATTCTGTGGAGGATGCTAAGAGGCCAAGGGTTGTAGGAGATATTCCTATTGAATTAATCAATGAAGTAATGTCAACAATTACAGATCCTGCTGCAATGCTCGGGCCAGAGGTGAGAAACATCTTGTAATCTGTCTGTAAACTATCTTTCAATAGTGTGCGATAAGTTATGTGTCCACAAAATGTACCATGTTGTGAGTGAGAGTAGTAAGATGATGGAAATGTGTGGAAAAAAGTATTGACAAAATACATGATTAGCATGAAGAATAATTCCACATTTTTTTTTTAAAATGCACTGTGTGTTGTTTGCAAAGAGACTTGGAGATTAGTGATAGTGAAGAACTACATCTGAGGTAGAGTTTCAGTGTTTTTGTCACAGGATAGTTCCATAATATACTATGTTTGTTTGTTTATTTATTTGTTTATTTGTTTATTTTTAATCAGAGATATAGCGTGTAAGACACAGTAAATTGGGTGCAAAGCATGCAGTAGAATGAAAGATCCAAATCTTAAACCTCTGTTTAATGAAGAAGAACTAATCTAAGCAGTTATTTGCGCCTTTTTCCACAGCTGCTCTTTCCTGTGTTTGGAAAGAAAAGCAAACAGAATTGAGGAGTTGTGCCATGTATGGAATTGCACTTTGCTATTTTTTTTTCTTTTCTGCTTGGCTTTTCTTCCTGCTATTTCCTTCACCAGTYTTTGTTTTGCCAGCAGCTTGTGTTTGTCAAGTTTAGCTAGAGGCTGTTGAAGGTTTGGAACAACATACTTTTAACTCAAACTATGAACTATGACTGATGGCTGAGTGTGTAACAAACCCTGGGCTGACCTGGGCAGTGGGGCTGGCAGAGAATAGATACCCAGCAGCCAAACTTGGCTCTAGAAAGAAAACAGCATGTGAAAGACAGCCTTACCTCCTGCAAAACAAGCATTGCTTTGGGAAAGCTTGTAGTTGGGGGTGGTTTGTGGGTGCAGTGAATTAACTGGAATTAGTTTGCATATATTTATATAACTACCTTACTTTCCAAAATTATATGGAATATAATGTAGATATTTTGATTGATAGTAATTGCGCTTCGATTTTTTTTTTTTTGAGCTGAGGGGAATCTGGTAATGTCTGTGTAGTGAGTCTTGAAAATTGCTTGGTGTGTGCAACAACAGACTATTATTTTTCTGTTTTAAATACAGTATTATGTTGTAACATTTTCTTTAAAGTAGCCTGTTGTAACGTTTTCTTTAAAGTAGCCAAGCTTGTAACTGTTCCAAAATATTTTCCCTTATTTCTCTAGCAGTTTCTGTTGCCAGACTTAATGATGGCAGCATGCATGCAGACACTTTTGGGCATTGTAAAATGATGTTGGAAGAAAAAAAGTTAAATAAATTGTATTAATTTCATCTCCATTCAGATATACATGTGTGTAATTGCAGCAAAATTGTCAGGAATTGAAATGTTCTTTTTAGACTCTTAAGATAGTTGTGTAGATAATGGAAAGTTCCACTAAAATGAAAAAAAGAAAAAAAGTATGATGGTACTTGCACTACTGTTATCATTTGCAATATGTGTAAGGAACTCCTACTGCTGGTGTCTGAAGTAGTTAGATTAAAGACACCGGCAGGACACACTAGCACTAGTTGAAGCACAAGCTTCAACTGCATGAGCGTTGTCCTCCATGAGGTTTTATCACCTGTTCAGTCATACCATCACTGCTGCTACTTAATCTTTACTAAAAGAAGCTTGTGTAAGCCTTTGTATATTGTAGCTTAGATTTACAACCATCTTATCTAATGATGTCACTTCATCTCAAAGATTAAAGGCAGCTCTATTTTTATAAAAGGATAACTCGAAAAAGGAGGGGTTTGRATCTGTTCTTTTAAGGCTGTTCTGCCAGTGGATATAAAACATCCAAAGATACTTTTATTTCTCTTCTTCTATCTGTTAGACCAACTTCCTTTCAGCGCATTCAGCCCGAGATGAAGCAGCCAGGTTGGAGGAGCGACGGGGAGTGATTGAGTTCCATGTGGTGGGAAATTCTCTSAACCAGAAGCCAAACAAAAAGATCATGATGTGGCTGGTTGGTTTACAGAATGTGTTCTCCCATCAGCTRCCCAGGATGCCAAAGGAGTACATCACACGCTTGGTCTTTGATCCGTGAGTACCTTTGGAGAGGAGTTTCATGGACAAGTTCAACCAACACCTGGTGCTGGTCCCAGGGAACAGTGTAGAAGTGGGATAGTAAGGTGATGTGGACTGGAGCTTTGCATGTGCCAGTCTTTTACATATTTTCCCATCTTTTCAAGCCACTGAAATTCCTGGTCAGTCTGATCTAGATGGCTGTAGTAATAAGTGGCTTGTTAGTATGGGAAAGGGACTAGAAGAAGAATCCTTTACATATGTTATACCTCTAGCAATTAGAAATGAAAACTGGGAAATAATTGTGGTACCTGTTAGTGGTTTTTGGCCCTGTACTGACTTGTAGACTGCTCCATCCTCTGTCTGTAATCTGAAGACAGAGCAGGGAGAACTATGTGGCAGAAGAGACTGAAGTTTTTCAAAGAGAAGAACTTGKAGGATCTGTGAAGAACAGCAACATGTAAGTGAACACTGGAGAAAGTTTAGAATCACTCCTCACAGAAGTATCTTGCTTTTCTCTTTAAGTCACAGTGCACATTGTCTTTGTTGCGTTGGCTGCAACTGTACACCGCAGGAACTAGAAAAGAGGCACTTGGGCTGTAGCAGCGCACACAGTGTGTGCTTGGACCTCTGCCCGGCCTTAGTGTCCTGGCTTGACTGTGCCTCAGCTGCTCAGACAAGGAGGGAGGTTCTTCCGCTAGGCTCACAGATAACTGCAAGTTAACCCCTGCCAGCTGCTCTGCCCAGTCTGTGGAAGAGCTCTGCCTTCACCGTTGGTGTTACCAACCTCTGTTCTTGTACTCAGTATGTTAGTTATGAAAGCAACACTGGAACCATTTCCTTTGCTTTTAGACTTGCTGGTGTTTCCCTTCTGATACTGCCCCAGTGCCAACAAACTCTGTAGCTGATGGGTCCATGCATTCCCCGAAACACAAGAAGCTCAGTTGCAACCATAGACTACTGATTGAAAAAGCCATGGTTTGGGACAACCAAACATCAAAACAAACTGTGTAGTAGTGGATGCTGACCCATAGTCTTCCCTTATATTTCTTGAGGCCATCCTTTATTGGATGAGACGACTTTTTAGTAGATGGAGAGGAACTGTTTAGGTATCTCTCTGGAGAACAGTCTGGGCTTGAGAATGAGGTGTGGTTATTGTGCTTAGTGCAAAAAAAGCCCTTTTTTATGCTTTTGGCAAGCAGTTCACCCATAAAAAGCAAAGCACATGGGGTGGACAGCTGAGAACTCCCATTATCTGCTGCATTTCCAAGGGCTCACGTTACTACACTGAGTAACATACTGAGTAACTGAGAATAATAACACTGTTATCACACTGAGCAGCACAGGTCTGGTCTATACACACAGACCAACGTTGTGTAGGAGGAGTGCAGCAGAACTCGCAAGTTTTTTTCAGCTGTTACCTTATTACCATCTGTCATGCTCTTATTTCCAAAATGGCCATCTTCACTGAATCTTAGGAACAACTGAAAAATGAGCAGCTTAAGGATGAGGAAATAAAATTAAAAGCATAAGCTATTATTTTGCCACTGTCATTCCACACATAAAATACAGTAAAATAAGTGCAAGAAAATGTAGGTTAATCATGATTCGTAACAGCAAAATAAATTTCTTATAAAATCTCCTTCAGAAGTGACACATAAAATACAGCTCTTCTTTGGGCTGCCTGTGTTTTGTAAGGGGCTCACTTTTGGCACCAATCTCTGCTCCAAACATAAAAATATCTGCTGTAAATTTGCTGTATTATTTATACAAGTTAAGGAATATTGTATTTTGAGTAAGCTGTGGTCTTAAATTTTGCTTTAACTGTTTACATGACACTTCATTATGTCTTTCCTAGCAGTAAATGTAAGTGCAAGAAATCGACATTTCTTCTGGCTTTGATTCCACTAGGAATAGATGATTAGAAATACAAAATATAGTTTATTTCTTGCTGAAGGCTGATCACTATTGTAGAGTATAAGAATGTCTTAGAAGAGTCTTTCTATCCTGCAACTCCATTAGTTTCTAATTTAGGGTAAAATCTTTCTGACAACTGTGCAGTAGTACAGCTGTCAGCATCAGAGTCAATGAAGGCAATATATTACCCTAATATCTAGGAGTATTTGGCAAAGCCAAGACTTAATTGTACTAATGTTATTAAAAGAGAAAGTTAATAATGAATTTTATGATAAATTCAAAACATAATGATAAAATGCTCACTCTTCTGTAGGTGCAAGCAGCTAACTTAACAGAGGTATAAACAGTTACATTAGCGTAAGAGAAAGAAGTGAATAAAGCTTATTAAAAAAATGACACATCTTGACTACTTGCATGATCTAAAGTGGCTGTTATATTTGTCTACTCAGGAAACACAAGACCCTTGCATTAATAAAAGATGGTCGTGTTATTGGTGGCATCTGCTTTCGGATGTTCCCCTCTCAAGGATTTACAGAGATTGTTTTCTGTGCTGTGACTTCAAATGAGCAAGTCAAGGTAAAAACAATTTAAAAACAAGAATTTATTAAATATATTTGATTTCTCACCAATGTATATGCTCCTAAGTTTGTTAGGCATATTAAATATCTTAGTATGTAAGTGGAATTTGAAAGTATGTCTGTCACTGAACATACTATGCACTGATTAAACATATCTACAAACTTTAGTCTAGTAGGATTAACTGTAATAAAAAAATCTTCCTCGAAAAAAAAAAATATTTATTTATCTGTCGTTACTGGGCTACTCACTCCTCTGTCTTCAGTAATTACCTCTCACTGTAGTGTAACAGCCCAAGGTCAACTGAACTAAGTACTGATTGTGTGTGACGGTAATGTAGATTAAACTACTTTGTGATGTTAATTGACTTCAGTGAAAATGAGGTATCAAAAAAAGGATACTTTTGCATCTCAAAATAAGCACAAACACCATTTTATAAACTCTTTTGAGTTGATTTTTACAAAATCTTCTCGAAGGGTTTAGAAGTTATTGCCATGTTGAAAGAATGTAGAACACACTAAATACAGGAGGAAACGTTCAGTGTTCTCTGCTTGGCTGAGGACTGCAGGTAGATCTAACTTCGACTGATTCAGGATTTCACCTTTAGATGGTGCTACATATTTTTCTGTTGATACTAGTATAGCTGAGATGTGAATTATTTCAGAACTTATAACAGATGAATGTGAAGGGACAGCTCTGGATGTGGAAGGGTAATGTAGTGGGGGTTGAAAGCCAGTAATAACTATGTAGTACTTCTGTTATATTTGATTTTTATCAAAATTCAGTGCTAGAGAGAAACACTCATGTGTACTTAGCGATGGTCATATAATAAAAGCAACCAAAGAGTTTTAACAAAGGTAAACAATAATAGAACACTTTTTAGGCATGCCTATTCCAAGCCATTCATGAACAATATTCTTTATACGCAAACAACCAACTGCACTACAGGTTAAACTGCCAAAAGTGTGTTTGCTGACCTTCCCACATTCCTTTCAGAGCAAGGTGGCCCCTAATAGTGGTTAAATGAGGAAAATGTATATGTTCAGACATGGGTCTCACCATTTAATCTAGGCCAAAAGTAATGCCTATTTTAATTCAGTTTGAGGACAGGCTAAGGAAGATGGCTACTGTTTTGCTTTACACTTAATTTTTAAAGAATGAACAGAAAATGTTTGAGCTAATTGTCATAATGACTGAAGTTTCTTTGAGGCACAAAGTTGATATTTGTTATCAGAGATTAGATGCTTGAGAATTACTGGAATGCATTGCTGCATTTCAGATGTGAAAAAAAAAATGCCAGTGTCATACACTATTCTTCTCATCCCTTTGATGGGAGGAGAATAGAGAACTTGTCTAGCTCATGTACTTCTAGTTTAAATTTAAGGAAAACATTTTTAATTAAAGGAAATAATTTCACAATCCTCTTTCAGGACTTTTTGAGAGCTTGAATTTGCAGTTGGAAAGTCACTTCAGATCTTCAGTGTTTTTAAGTTCTAGGAAATGCTGTGCCACTTAGCTCACCATGAGGTGGCAAGCCACTTCATATTGCATGTCCTGAATGATGCATGGACTTTGACAAGTGAAACATACAGCCTTTGATGGCTTCCTTAAGTTAGGCCTATGAGATCCTCATTTTGACTATCTGAATGAAAGATACTCCAAACACTATCTTTCCAGCACTAGCTGGAGAGGAAGGATTGATATGCAACTTTTGTATGTGGAATGGTAGGGTTTTTTAAATTCAGTTTCCAGCACTTACCTATACGGATTTTATCTGATGATTTCCATTTTTGAGGCTGTTAAATTGTGAATCAGAATGTTGTATTTTCTAATTTTTTTTTGTCTTCTGTAAATAAGTAAAAACTTCTCCCTGCTTTCAAGAAAAAAGTACTCCAAAACATTCTGTGTTTGTTTTTGTAAGTATCCAATTATTGTCCACGATGTTAACAACCGGAACATATGCCGGAACAGCACATTCTTATGTCTTTCCTGACAGTTTTACATTTCCTCATCTTGAAGCAGAAGGAGAGAACTAAGTTTACTTCGAAATATGAATAAGTGGAACCTATAATTTATTCTGGGACTAAATTAAAATAGAAATTATTCCTCTGTGTAGTCTGAAGACATTTATTTGACTGTGGACTTAATAATTTTGTGCTGCTTATTGTGGTAATAACTATTTAAGTATGCCTTTTATGTTTATGATAAGATTATAACATCTTTGAGGCAGGGGCTATTTCTGTTACAGGTGTAAAAAGTTGGTAAAACAGAAACTGCATCTCAGACTGGGGTTCTTCTAGAAGCAACTGTTTYGGCATTCCCTCTGCCTTGTAATCTAGAAATGGTATGGCTGAGAAACAATGCCCTCTTATTAAAACATACCCAGTTTTTCTAACAGTGATATATGTGATCATAAATAGTTGGTTAGAGGAAAAACAATGTGCCCAACTTGAAGTACAAATTCCAGAGCAACATACCTCTTTAGAGTCACACTTCGCACATAGAGAGCGTCTGAGTTGTCCATTTTAGATTAAAAGGAAATCAGAAACTCTACACTGTGACATTTTTTGTTGCTTCTTGGGTGATACTCTTCTAAGGCTGAAAACAGTTTGAGCTTGGGCATGCCTCTCTCAGTTAGATACCAGAAGGTCTTTAGAAAGCAATTTAGAGGCAAGGCTGTGTTTTGAAAGCTCTGTAATATGTAATATTCCTCAGTCCACAGCTTCTGCTGTGCACAAAGGTTTCATAGCAGCTTTTTCCTCATACATTTCATACAGGGTTATGGAACTCACCTAATGAATCACCTGAAAGAATACCACATTAAGCACAACATTCTCAACTTCCTCACATATGCGGATGAATATGCTATTGGCTACTTCAAAAAACAAGTAAGTCGGTCTAGGAAATAATTCCATGCAAGAATGTCTAGTAATGACAAGCTAAGCAACTTAGCATACTGCAGAAGTTGGATAAAATGATTTTGTGTAAAAATTACTTCTTTTTAACCTTCAAAATATACTTTGTGTTTATYTAGTATAACGTTGGCTTCTAATGGATTTTATTTTGAGGGAATCTTACGACTCTAAGTGTACTGTATAGCCTGTAATTTACTTAACAAACAGAGTAAAATATGGCTAGGCTACCTGTGGACCTGCTTCATTTGCTTCCTTCACTGATTCTGGAAGAAGTGTAAAGTTGGACCYGACCTACTGGCTACAGGCTAGTAGCACAAACTCATCTTGTGCTCACAGCTGCTTGTGATTTGAATCATGAAGCTCAAGTTCAGGAAAGAGTTTAATGTGTCAGATAGATTCAGTAGATTAAATCCATATCAACTACCTGATTGGAGCATACAGTGAAGATGGAGCCAGGCTCTTTACAGAGGTGTTCATCAGTTGGTGTAGAGGCAGGGGACACAAGCTGGATCATGTGAATTTGCAGTTAGGTATAAGAATTTTTTTATTTTTATTTTTAACTGTGMGGGTGGGGAAATATTGGAAGACATTGTCTGGAAAAGCTGTGGAATCTCTGGGTAGTGTTCACACCTGGTCTGAACACAGCCCTGAGCAACCTGATTTGATTAGGCCCTCTCTGAACAATGTGTGGGACTGGATGAGCTCCAGAGGTCTCTTCCAAGCTTGACTATTCTGTGATTCTATGAATATAACTAGTACAACTTATAGTTGATGTTTTAGTTGGGTTTGTTTTCATTTAACTTTTGAACTTTGGAACTTTTGACTGTAATGGAAGATTTGGAACTTTCCTTAGGGTCTGGTATATGTTTTCATTTAAAATACAAATGTAAAATAGTCATTGKTCTTTCTAAGGCAGATATTACTGCAACCTTTGGGCAAAGGTCTCACTGACTTCAACAGAGGCTGTCCTTAACTGATGGCTGCAGTACTGGCATCTTTTAATATTAAAATATAGAATTTTTGGAAAACTCCAGTAAATTTGTGGGGAGTAAAAATCTACTCTTCCTTCCTTACCTGCTCCTTCTACCTTAACCTTCTCCTCTTCCTGCATATAAAAGCAATTGTTGTATCAAGTGATTCTCTTAAGAAGATAGTTGCAATACTGTAAACGATGCTTTGTAATTTTTTGTCCAAAATATTCTCTGTATTTTAACATTRTGGTGTTTTAAGTCTTAATTCTGGACTTCCTTGAATCCTTAGGATTTCCTTAGTACTTCCTTAAGTCTTCTTTCCTTCATTTTAAACTAATGTAAAAGGAAAATGGCATCATGACAGAAAATAAAAATTATARGGTTGTTTTTTTTTCTGCAGGGTTTCTCCAAAGATATTAAAGTACCAAAAGCAAAATATGTTGGCTATATCAAAGATTATGAAGGTGCCACGTTAATGGGATGTGAATTAAATCCAAGGATTCCCTACACAGAGTTTTCTGTCATCATTAAAAAGCAAAAAGAGGTAAAGGATGAAATGAAAAACTGAACAATATAATCAGCATGATTATATTATCAGCAAAATCTCATGATTGGGTTATTTTAGTTTTAAAATGTCAGTGTTAGGTTACATTCTTCACTTTCTAGTACATTCTGTGTCTTACCTCTCAAACTCTTTCTTATTTCCCTGCTTCATTATTGCAGATAATTAAGAAGCTGATAGAAAGGAAACAAGCTCAGATTCGAAAAGTCTACCCTGGCCTTTCTTGCTTCAAAGATGGTGTACGACAAATTCCGATAGAAAGCATTCCTGGAATTAGTATGTATCAACCTTATTTTAATGTAGAAGAGAAGTAGAATAGCCTAAAAAAGGTTCAAGACTAGAAACACTAATGTAACCACATATTGTTTTTTCATAAGATATGATTGTTTCAGCCTGTTAATTTGATTTCTGTCAAGATTGTTATGTTTCTACCATAATACTGTCTTCAAGACTTCCCCAAGGCATCCCAGCCTAGTGCTCTTTTATGTACACGTTTAATTTTGTTTACATGTGATGCCTCTTTGTTCTGTACCACAGTATAGTCAGCAAATTCCCTCTGGCACCACTATTATGTACTGAACTCCTGCACAGGGACGAATTCTGTGCTAAATAGGGACCTATTTGAAATAGGACAAAACAGAATTAAATTTTAAGTATCATCTCTTTTTTCATCTATCTCTTCTGCAATTTATTCCATGTCCCTGTGGAAACATAAAATAATTTTAACATCACTTATCTTTACAAAGGCTGTAATAAAATATGCATTATTAAAAAAAAAAAAAAAAAAAAAGAGCAGTGTGTTTCCTGTAGGAATATTTTAGAATCTTTTGCAGCTGTCTGAAGAAAGGATCATGTAGGAATTGAAATGGGCCAGGAAGCTAGATTGCTGTGTTTTTCAGTCGGATTAGCTTTTATTAAAACAAACCAATTTTATTTTGTGGTGGTGCTGAAATGGCTTATCCTTTAGAGTTGCATTAACTCAGTTAATGCTTTGACCTCCTGTAGTTCTCATATACTCTTTCATGTTTTTGATGTACAGGAGAGACTGGCTGGAAACCAAGTGGAAAAGAGAGAGGGTAAGTGCTGCATGAAGAAAAATGCTGAGGCAGTTTTGAGAATTTGAGATATGTCTTAAATGACATTGGAAAAAATCACTTGAAATTTTCTTCCATCTATTGAAAGACAGAGATAAATAATCTGCAGTGAATGAAAGTGGGTGGTGKTTTTTTTTTTCCCCCTATAAAATTCTGGAATTGCTTTGAGGTGAGAGGTAAATTCTAGGAATGGAGTTGCAAGCTAATCTTTTTGTATTAATATTTTCTTTCAAGTAAAGAGCCCAAGGATCCAGATCAGCTTTACAGCACATTAAAAACCATACTGCAGCAGGTGAAGGTGAGTGCCAGTTCTAGTTTGCCTTCTGTAAAGATTTTTAAATGATTTATAATATAGAGTTTCCATATTAGATACCTTACTTTTTTCTTTACCAAAGAGCCATCAAAGCGCTTGGCCCTTCATGGAACCTGTGAAGAGAACAGAAGCTCCTGGATATTATGAAGTTATAAGGTTTCCCATGGGTAATGACATTAATGTTTTTTAAGTATAGAGTTTAAAAATCTTTATAGCCAGAGACTTAGCAAGTAGCAATATGATTGTTGCACACGCTAAAAGTTACATTACTTTCAGCTCTGAAGTGCCAAGAATACAATACTGTTGTTTGAAATTTATGATTATTTTGTGACTGTTGTGAAGCATTTACGATATATTCATGTGAAATCTTAGTGTAAAACCTACAGAGTCCTGGCAAGATCTTAAACTATGCAATCAGAAGCTTTGGGGATTGAGCTAGTTTATGTGAGCTATAAGAATATGATCTCTTGTATGGTAACTTTTCATTGGAGAGGCTATTGATATGTTAAAGAGTCTTGAGGTAAACTTTCAGGAATACCTGAGTGTTTGAATTACTTTAAAAGGGTTTTAAAACTTCCTAAATCACATAGAAGAAAGCTTTCCAAAGTACCAGTTATTCTAATTAACACTTAATATGGAGTTGATTTGTGAAGTTTAGCCAAGTGCTTCATGCAACTGGTTGGTTATAAGAACCTGTTTAACAACTTTTAGTTCTGTATTTTGCACCTTTTGGATTTTTTTTTTTCAAACAGCTAGTGTTTATGCATTAGTGCTTGCAAAAAGAAGTGAACAAGTGATAATTACTTTTTTTTTTCTTTTGACTGATATGTCAAATAATTTATATGATGATTCAGTGCAGTTCTAGTTAGGTGCTTGTTTTGATTTGCATTGTGACATATTTAACAGAATCGTGGCATTTCTTCACTGTATATGTAATACTTATCCCATCTCTCTGATTACAATTTCTGTGTTTTGAATCTAGAGAATGAAATTCAAGTTCAGTTCAGATTATTATCAATCAGTTTCTCAGAGAAGGAAAATGTTAGTAGAGTCCTTGATTGTGCCTACTAATTTGGCTTAATGGTTATATTCAACTCATCGTTTCCAAAGAGCAGATAGATGCATGCTTTATAAGAGCGGCAGTCAGCTTCCTGCCTCCCTGAGGCAAATGTACCCTCTGCCAATGTGACAGAATAGTGTTGGGCCGTCACTTGGCAAATCAGCCCTTCTCTGTTTTTCTGAGCAGAGGCTAAATGGCTGTTTAATCTGAATAAACCTTTCAGGGGTTAGGAAGAAATTGCCGCCTGGATTGGCAAGCCCAAAGTAGGAGTGTTGTCTGTGCTCTCCTTGCCCAGAGAGGCAAGGGGGGAGGGGGAAAGCAGCCCTTATTTTAGGATTTAGCTGAGGTCTTTGTTTTGGTTTCCTTTGTTTTTCCTACCAAGGAACTAACACACAACTAACCCACATTTTGATTCATGATCAGCTCATTACCAGCGTGCTGCTATTGTACAAAAATTCTGACATAATTTCAGTGAAAAAGAAACAGTGTCTCAAAAGCATCTAAAAACTAACAGTGCTAACTAATAGAAAACCTAATTGTTRTCTTTACATTTTTATACAGACTAAATTGTAAGATGTTTGTGARGTCTGTCTGTACATTTTTTTAACTACCTCCTAAGGTCACCTCATATGTATGTAGACTTCTAATGTGTCTATTGATCTCTTTCCTGTTCCATGCTCTTGCAATCTGTTGTTTTCAGGAGTGCTATTTTTTCCCCTTGTAGGTCTGTGGGAGTTGTAAGTGGGAGATGCAGCCAAACTCTCACTGTAGTCAGTGGAGAAGGATTTAACTGAGCAGCCAGTGTCTGCCTTACAGTGAGCTGTAAATCCACACATCCACAGGATGATTAGGCTTTAGATAAATAGTTCATATGTGGGCATCTACATGTGAGACGTAACGGGAGCTGATTCTCAGTTATAATTTCATCCTTACAGCTGTAACAGTGTGCTTTGAGCCTTCCTCAGGGAAGCATATTATGGTGAAACGTGGAGTTTTGTCTTATAAACATCTTTCTCAAAAAATGGCTCCAGACAATTTTAAGACAGACAGCTATTTAGCTAGACATTCAAATGAAAAGCATAGGTGATGCAAGCAGAGGCTTGATGCAACTGTTTCACAATGTTTAAACTTKTCTGGCATACCTATTTGCATTCATTGAGCTACATCAGTGCAGTTCCTTGCAGCAAGCCCCTTTATGATGCTTTAGGAATGCCAAGTGGTTTTGTGTTTGTTGAGGATGAGGTATCTACTTAAATCGATTACTGCTAAATTGATTTGAATGTCCATACACAGAGTTTCTGAAGAAATGTAGTGAGTACAAACTTTTTCAGTTGATAAGGCTTAACCATTCCCACACAGAAGATTTAGCTCTCAGCAGTTGCCTGTTTGTATAGCATCTAACTTTGGTGACTTTGGGTTTCTGATTCTCTGCAAAGCACCAGTGAAATGAGATGAGACTAGAGGAGAAATCTCTTCATTTATTCAATAACAAATACCTTGTTAAATGCCCAACAATTATCCCTAAATTCTTCTAAAAAAAATTTTTTTTTTTTTTTTTTTTTTTTTTTTTTTTTTGGAGAGGAAAAAAAAAAAAAAGGAATCCCAAAAAATAATTTCAAAAGTTTATAACTTTAAAAAAAAAAAAAAAAAAAAAAAAGACAGGTGAAGAACCTTTGTTTTAGTATGTGCTTTTCATATGAAAGGGTTATTTTTCTATTATGCTTATATGTGCTGGCTCTGTTACTGTTAAAACATTACCATAGTTTTGCAWTATTCTCTTGCATATTACAATTCAGCATAAATGGATACTTGAAAAAATGGTGACATATTARCATTGACTTACTTAAAACATTTTTCTTCCTATTGAGAGCTAGTGCCACAACTGAATGGATTTTTTTTTTCTTCTAAGCAGTAAATAACGTATTGGAGGAGTCCTTAATTTTTTTTGTTTTTGTGATTTCATTTTCCTCCAATAATGACTACATGAGATCTGAAATCATTGTGTTAGTATATCCAAAATGCTATTACCTTAATGAGGTTTATTCAAAGACTAAATAGAACAATAGAATCATAGAATCCTTAAGGTTGGAAGGGATCTCAGAGGTCATCTAGTCCAACCCCCCTGCTCAYGCAGGGTCACCTAGAGCACGTGGCACAGGGCTGCATCCAAGCGGRTTTTAAAGATCTCCAAGAAGGAGACTCCACAACCTCTCTGGGCAGCCTGTTCCAGGGCTCTGTCACCCTCACTGTCAAGAAGTGTTTTCTCAAGTTCCTGTGGAACTTTTGGTGCCTCAGCTTGTGGCCATTTCCTCTAGTCCTATCGCTGGCCACCACTGAAAAGAGGCCGCCCCCTCCTCCTCACTGCCTCCCTTGAGGTATTTATACACACTGATCAGGAAATGCTATTGAGGCCAAGCACAAAAATGCTTCTAAACACTTCTTGAAGAGATGGACCTGAGCAGTCTGATAAAAACCTGAAAAAGTACRTATAATTTGTGAATCTGGGGATTTTGTTGTCTAAGCAGTTTCACACTTTCCCAAACAGACGTTTGCTATTCTTATTTTGCTTAAAAATCCTAGCTCAGTTTATCACTGTAAATCCTTGACCTACATAAGAATTATTGATTCTAATTAGAAGAGGCCTAACTGTACACTAATTGTATATGCAAGTATACATATACTGGTTTAATTACATATTTTACTTGATAGGAATAGAGGCTTATTAATCAACTCTTACTTAAGACAAATGAGATTGAATTAGTGATATGGCATTCTACAATTCAGTCTATAAAGTCAGTCGGGGACTGTCAAAGGAAAATGAGAGAGGAGCTCAGAATTCCTTCTTCTTTTTTTTTTTTTTTTTCCCTGAAAGTACTATCAAGAACAGTGAGTTTTCAGCTGCAGAGCAGTAAACAGATTCACTGCAGTAGTTTGCAGAATGACAGTAATCAAGTATCAACTGAGAATTTCTGCCTTGCTATTAACATAAAAAAAAATAGACTGCCTTTCCATGTGTGAAATACTGTGTAAAGCTAGTGCATAGCAAATTTTATATCAGTGGAATAGGTGTTTGAGAATATTTAGCAAATTTGAAAATATCCAGTTTCCTGTCTTAAATAATTCCCTGTTTTCATCTTGATATGCTTTTCTCTACTTTTTCCAAATTCAAATCTTAAAAAAAAAAAAAAAAAAAAAAAGGACAGTAGGAGATACAGAGACTATCACTCTAATTTCATAGACATATCACTTGTAAAACTGTACTATGGCCTGGGAAATAGCTTCTTTGCTGTGGAGGTCTTCAGCCTCTGCTTTGCTAGCAGTGTTCATTGGCATAAGACTTTCCTATTTTAGATATTTCCATTAAGATTCACAAAGGTGTTGCTGTAGCCTGGGCTCAAATACTGCTGTGAAATAGTTATTAGAGCCTCTGAGCTGAGAAAAGCCAAGGCATCCAGCAGAACTCATTTCTACCACTTGTAGGGTAGACTAGGTTTTCAGATGCCTTGCAGGAGCCACCAGGATGTGGAGAACACTGAGGTGATTTAGGTGTTTTATGAATGGCAGGTTTTAGTATAAAGGAAAAGATTCATTTAAAGAATGTTTTCTAGTCAACAGTAATTTGTATGGGACAGTGAAGRTGGGAGAGCTCAATTCTGACACCATTTTCAGAAATGTTTGCATAACTGTGACTTTGAAGCTGTAACTAAAATATATCTAGACTGTGAAGTATGTGATATTTAATGTATGTCCTGGGAAGTCATCCAAATCCTTTACTTAGTTATGTAGTCCTAAGTCTTCTCCTGCAGAGCCCGTGGTAGCTTTGCCTCACATAGTCACACAGCTCTTAAGGACCCCTGATTCTCACAGAAAACTGTGTGAGAACAGAAAGGTGATGCTTTATTTGTATTTTTAAGCTCTCCATGAAATTATTCTTATAGTGTAAAAAAAAAAAAAAAAAAAAAAAAAAGCTTTTTTCTAGGAGTGCAACTGATGCTGTTGAAGTTAAAAGTTTTCTTGTAGATTTACAAGGTATTAGGATCAAGGCTTAGATAAGGGCAGTTAATAATTCCAGCTCCTAGCTTTGCCATCAGTTCATTTCAAAGGGCAAAGCAATACTAAGGGTTATTGCTGCATGAAATACATGTATCAAGCAGTGCTAATCTATTTTTTTCCTGTACAGATCTCAAAACAATGAGTGAACGACTCAAGAATAGGTACTACGTGTCTAAGAAATTATTCATGGCAGACTTGCAGCGAGTCTTTACAAATTGCAGAGAGTACAACCCCCCCGAGAGTGAATACTACAAATGTGCCAATATACTGGAGAAATTCTTCTACACAAAAATTAAAGAAGCTGGATTAATTGACAAGTGACACTTTGTCTTTTTTTTACAACCAATCAGTGTGCCTCCCACATGGGCAAGGGAAGCCGTTACATTTTGGAGCTGTTGGGACTTCAAGTTTTCAAGAAACTTCTGTTTAATAATTAGCACTTTTAAAAACCCTTTTTAGTTTTGCAAACCTGTATTATATTAAAATTAGAAAGATTATTTTATTAAAATGCTTTATAATGTATTTAAAATCAACAAAGATTTCTTTGTGTGCCCATTATAATATATTCATAATTTTATCAGCTACAGCCTCAAAACATGTGGGAAATTGCACATGTTTGGGAATATGAAGAAAATTCCTAGACAATGAATGTGAAGGTTTTAGCTTACARTCTCTGTTTGAAAAAAATAATATTTTTTTCTAGTTAAAAGAAAAATCAGGGCAAATAAGTTCAGATTACGGTCTGAAACATTTGTTTCATTATGGATTTTGTGTTTTTTTAGTAAGATAWTATTTTTTAAAAGAAGCAGCTGTGAGAGAAAAGCAGCCACTTCTGAGAAAGAACTGCTGGAAACTTTGATAGATGCAAATTTGTCTATTGATYTGAGATTTTGAGAAGTATTTTACCTGCAAATTCCAATCTCATAACCACTAATGAAATAAACATTTGGTTAGATGGGTAATGKCTTAGTGACTTGGCTTATGCAGGACATAAGTACCCAAAATAACTTCAGAAAATCTGGTTGGTATACACTAGGCTTAATTTTAATTGGCTTAGTAGGGATAAGGTTTCGATACACTTCATGATTCACATCATTTCCTACTCTCAACTGATAAATTCTTTAGATTGTGGAAGTAGAGATAAGATGACTGTGCACAAAACTAGTCAGTATATGACAGCTTCTAGCTTATATATTTCCCTCTGTGGTAAACTGGATTTTCTACCAAGCTTTATTGTAAATACTTATTAACTGTGATTATTTAGATCCAGGAGCATATTAACATTTTACAACTCATGTTAGTATATCATCATATATCATCAAATGAAGCACTTATATATATATTATATATATATTTTGCTGCTTACACTACTTGTAAGAGGTACACCTAACTTCCTAAAGGAGAACAGTACAGGCCAAAAATCTGTCACTTGACATTTTCTAATTGAAGTTTATAACTGCTTTTGTGAAGAATAAATTTAACTTTTATTCTTGGTGTTTTGTATTTACAGGTGTTACACTGGTAAAGTTCAGTAGTGATAAGGTTGGAACAAATAACCTTCTATTGTTATCAAAGAATATAGTCCTGTAAAATGCCTGTGCAATGTTAAGTTACAAGCTGATGCAGTAAGTATGTCAGAACTTACCTGGAAGTAGTGTGGTACACATGGTATTCAAACTGTTAACACTAGAATTGCATCAGTGTTTCATATGAAATTAGCCTGACCTACATTTGGATCTATAACTAAGGTACAATAAGAGAGTTGTTTTATAGACAGTATTGGATACTATAATCCTRTTTTGTAGATTGGGCCTACAGATGCACCTGTTAAGCTTGGTATCCTGTGAAACTTTGTTATTTTCAGAGTAGATTTTCGTATTGTCTTTCAATCAGATTGTCTCTTCTATATTGGAACATTTGTTTTCTAATTTAAAAATTAATATTTTCATAGATACTGTGCAATAAAGTTACAGTAGGATGTGTTTTTTGCAAATGCTTTAACAGCTGATGAATTTTACATTTGTAAAATTAATATATTGTATTGGTACAGAATAGTTTTAAATTATATATATATACACACACACAAAACACTCTTTTTGGTCTTTTATTTCACTCATTTTTTGCACTACCCATACACTGATTTTCATAATTGAGCACCCTGAACCCACAAGAGTGCARCAGTTGAATAGGAAACCTTCAAGTTCACTGGGATCAGTTAGATGAGTATAGTTGATAAACTCAGAAGTCAGTATAAACTACTGTAAAAGAATCCAACTACCACTCCAGSTTCATATTAACTGGACCACACAACTCAAAAGAAAGAAAAAAAACATATTCAAAAGCTTTGATTTTTTTCATCCCCCAGACCATGCTTTTGTTGGTGACCTTCTAGAGCACCATCTCTTAACAGCCCTCAAAGTTAAATCCTGTCCGTTCTGAGCCTAGCACTCAGCTACTTTTGTTTTGCATGCCATAAAATAAACCGCTAGATCTGTCCACTAGCTGACAAATAATGACAGGGTAGAGAGATTTTCTTTTAATCCACCCGTGAAGATGTCACTTAAGGCCATACACTGAATAATACTCGAGTAGAGGAAGTAGCTTTCAGAAAAGGCTTAGACTTCCTTTCTAGGACAACTTTAGGAACACCACCACCCTGATGCTTAAAATCCTTCTRTGTGAGATTGGACTGCAGTGATTTGTCAAGCTCCCTCTAGCCAGAAATGCACTTGCTTTGGGCTGCTCTATATATTGATTTGTTTCTCATGCTCTAAATAACAACAGTTACTKAGTAAGCAACAGTTTACAGTAAACAACACGTACAAGACTGTTTCCTAAAATAATACTTTAAAGTTGAGAAATCATTCTGCAAAAAAATTAGGCTCAGATTTAAAATTTTAGGTTAAAAATGATCTATGCCTAAGAATGTAGGATTGGCAAGACTTGCACAGTGTGTTTTGAATGCAGCTTTCCTCTTCCTGTATTCATGCGGCAGCCCCTTTTGTAAAATTTAGAACTTTTATAAACAGGCAAAGAAACACGACTTTGAGTGTTATGCAACCTTAATAGTGTGGAGTTGCAGTAATAATCCCTCTAGCAAACTGTCTACTGCAATACCACATGGTAACAGTTTGGGGCTGGTGGATCTTAAACAAGAAGCAGTTGCAAGTTTGGGAAGCAGTGGGGATGGGGCAGGGGGAAGTCCCCATAAAACACTCTACACAATCATTACTGAAAATTAGGCAGGACAAAAGAGCTGTGTGTTAACTCATGGTCACTGCAGTACCAGCCAACTCTTATGTTTGAGGTCCAGCTACCAACTGAATTACTTCTGCACATGCTTACACTGAATAAAATGTGGAAAGGAAGAACACAGGCTTGCAACATGTCTACTGCAACTGGGGTTGCTTAGAATATTACAGTAGTAGCAGCAATAGACAGACATATAAAAAAAATACAAAACAAGTCTGAGTTCTTTTCAGCACGAAAACATTTATTATGAGCTTCACTATGAAACTACAAGCTTGGAATAAAAAAAAAAAAGATACGCACAAACATGATTTAAAAAAAAAATCCAGTGATCTCAGCCAATTCAAATTCACTTATGCCAGTCACTGTGACATCAAGTAGGGTTTTATATATAGGTATTTGATGGAAAGAACAGTGATCATCACTTCTGACATACTCACACACTCATATTGCAGGCATGCGTTCTCCCAGAAGTGTCTGAACAGARTCATCCGAATTATGTCTTATGTCTTCAAGATAAATTTCATTTAAAAACAAGTCACTAAGTTAAAAACACAAAACCTCAATTTTACATCCTTAAAATTAGATACTTCAACGTAACTGCATATTGCATCAGATGTTATTGTGTAATAGTTTGTGTAAAAATCTCCTTTCTTCATAGTTTTACAGGAGTGATGGGAATTCTCAACGACAACCAACAAATTTCTCATTGTATTTTGACAGGGATTCTTTAGGAGAACGACGTTTAGCATCTTTTTTCTGCTTGAAAATTGGAGAATTCAAAAAATATGTATCTGTGAATGGATCTCCTCTTCTAAGCTTCCTGTAAAAAGTACAGCAAGATTGAATTTTATTTTCCCTGCTCCRTTTACAGCAATTTCCAACTAGCAAGTTCAATTTTACATAACTAACATCAGACACCCCTCTTTAAATGTTAAGAACTTATTTCAAGTTTTTAAATAATCCCCTTAAACTGCCTATCAATCTGAAACTCAGTCACCTACCCTGCAATGCTTGGTTCTTTATAGCTCACAGTAAGAGTACAGCTTCTCTTGCGTTTTGGAGCTGGAGACAATTTGCTTGGTGGGACAGCAAGCCCATTTTCTGGGAGAAGTGAGGAAGCAGTGTTGGTAACATCACAGAGACCACGAGATGGTTCAAGAGGCTCTCCTGAAAATACCAAAAACAAACAAGGAAACCCCACACCACTCAATTATTATCATCTAAGATAGTTCCAGGAAATTAGGCATGAATTAAACTCTCAGCTGTACCCATTACCTCCCTCCCTATTTTCCTCTTACTTTAATGGAAAAAAMCATCAACATAAAAACGTTCAAGCTTTCTAATTTAATTTGCCTTGAGGAAAAATAGGAGAATGAATTTAATGATTTTTATAAGATAAAAATATTTGAAATTATCACAGAAATCAAATTTTATCACAGAAATCAAATCAGTCCCCTGAAATGGTATACTTCAATAAAGCGTAACAACAGTAGCTACAGAACAATTTCCAAACTTACTAATAGACTTGTCACTTGATTTACTGCTTTTAGTTTCTTTTTCATTTTGGAGTTTCTGCTCATGCTGTGCCAGACATCTCTTAGATCTTGGTCTTGCATGGATTGGTGACTTGTCATTTTGGCCCATTGAGCYTTTCCTTTTTTTTGATTTATAAGGAACATACATGCTATCATCTGAATCTTCTTCAGTAGTGCTCAACTCKGTGTGATCACTTTCAGGTAAAGCTTTTTTGTCATCCATACTGGTATCTGTGTCATTCACTCTATTTTGTCGAAAAGGTGTAACATGAACAGACTCTTCAAAATGAAAGTTGTAAGCATCACTGGAGCCATCTAAGAAGTCCGACTTTTCTTTGGAAGCCTCTTTACCCTGTCTCTTCTTTGATCTTGGTCTGGACGTATTTTTAGTCCTTTCCATTTTTTTCTTCGGACGCTTTTCTCTCCTTACTTGAGAGTCTTCTCTGCTTTTATGCTCATGTTGTTTAAAATCAGAGTTGTCGTCTGAATTTAACTGGGCAGCTGCAAAATGTACCCGCCTCAATGCCAGCTCTGAACCTGACGTGCTTTTATTCAACTGAGAAATAGCTGAATTAATGTTTTCTACAGTACATTCCTCTAGACTTTCTGCAAGTCTAGTTTCATCCTGTTCAGGAAGTGCTCTGGTTGAATCAGAGGGTTCTGGATGGTCCAAGGCACCAGTGCAAAGTTCATCATGAGTTCCCAGTTTTGAACAGCGACGCCTGGTGGACACACTTTTTGGTAACACATTACCAAACTGCTTATCCTTTTCACTTGAAGAAACATTTTCCAACTCTGACATTGCGTTATCCAGATGGAAATCACATGTTTGCCCTTGTAGTTGAAGATGAAAAGTCATATTAAAAGAAATATTAACAACCTAGATAAGTCTTGTTCAGGTTCTGATATCGCCAGCAGTTAGGCTACTAAAACTTTATCGACACATTTGTACAATTCAGTATATTACAAAGCAAGATAAACTGCTTTCTGTGGGCTCCTATAAAGTAAGGAGCCCTTTGCAGCTTGAAGATTCTCTTTCAAACTTCTAGAGTTTGGAAAGGTTCTTCATATTCRTTTACATACATAAATAACAAATTGTAGATTAATAAATGAATACAATTCATTTGTATCATTCAATAAATATACATGTATTTATGCTAATATTTGTAATATTTCACATGACATTATATAAATTGCTTGTTTAGTTCTTTTGTTTATTTTCCTGTATGTTTTTCTTTGCTAGAAATCATTGACTACATAAATGCTAATACAGCAGGAAGGATCAATTTAGTCTGCAGAGCAGTGTGATAGATAATGAAACTCAATGCAGGTATACAAAAGGTGTTTCCAAATTCTTTCCCTCTTTTGCTGAGCATCTTTGTTAGAAAGCTTACCTTTTGCTGACCCTTTACAATATCAAGTGAAAATTGTTTCAAAGTTACTTCAAAAGCAATAATGTTTTAAAAAAAAAATCAAAAGGGAATAATATCCAGTTTCTACTTAAATTTAGGTACCTTTGTCCAGAAATATGTTTGTTAGTGAAACACCATTTTCAGGTTCCTGGCAGATCTCTGACATAGACTGAGACAGCTCATTTCCATCATCACCAGCCTCCATCTCCCTTCGAAGTACACAATCATCTCCATTAACAAGTGGTGAACTCCTTTAAAAGGAAATTAGAACAATGGGTTGTTTATATTACACTAGATTTATTGCCCTTTCCAGGCAGAAAGCCTTACTGTAACCCATTTTTTCAAACATAGGTTTTAATTAACATATAGTACTTACACAGAACACACTTGTCCTATGGCACCAGAATTATTTTCAGGAACTGCAGAAAGCACACTCTGGTTCTGTCAACAAAATAGATCTTACTGTGATTAAACACCTGAAGCAAGCATGCACCATATATGCATTTTAGACAGAAGCCAACTTATATACAGAAGGGCCAGAATTCTATGACTGTTTGTGCTTTTTTCATCTTATTTCCTAACGACACCACAGTTATTAATGCCTAATTTTTTATTTTTTAAAAAAATAATTTGTTTGATACTGGCCAACAAATTCAAATGGAAAGTAAAAATTTCGAAGTTAAGTCCATCCCTCTCCAACATCTGCAGATGGAGCAACCAGTTGGCAAACAAATAAGTGTTGTGGAATCTCACATGCTCGGCTCCAGTAAGCGAACATGTTCACTACCACCACGTGAATCAAGAATCAGCTAAAGAAAGACCCGTGAAGAAAAGACACGGGACACTAGGCARAAAGCCATGGAAAATCAGGATGCCTCATTCATTTTCTGGTAGAATGGTAGTCCCACAGTCTATTATAGGCACCACCACAGTTGGATCCCACCTCACACCGGGAGATTTGAACTAATCTTGCATCCAAACTAAAGCTCAAATCTCAAAAAAATCTGTGCATATATGCTGTAGGAAAAGGAAAATAGGGTAAAGCGAATAGTTAACAAGTCCCATCACACAGCAGTACTTACTACATCTGTGAAACACAAATCCTTTGCTGGGCCAAGGAGATCAACAGAGTCCAGTAAGTTCTGGGAAACTTTTGAAATGATCTTGTTCAAGGCTGACAGCCGAGTCTAGCCAAGAAAGAAGGCAAATAGTATTCGCTACTGTTATATTGATCTACCCATGTAACAGCTCCTCACCAGTATTATAACTAAGCATGTATCTATTACCTTCAACTGCTAAAAGTACACAGAGCTGAGATGTTCTTTACAAAAGCAACCAAAAAAAGAAAAAAAAAAAGGAAGTGATCAGACTAAATGAAAATAGATGAAATTTTGTTCTGCATATCAAGATAACTTTTCATGAAGCATTTAAATTCATAAAGAAAGCAACAGATTATTTATGGTGGATTCTGACTTGCAAAGATACTATTAATAATACCTTGAAAGAACCTTGTGCTCTCTCAAACCTAAGTTTTCTCTGCAAATCAAACATCTGAACCTTCAGATCCTGATATTCTTCCCTTAAATGAAGGATTGTTGCCTGGGCTTCCTTGAGTTTGAGCTTTTCTTCTTGCAGTGCCACTGCTAGAGCTCTGTTATTTGCTTGAATACTCTTCATTTGCATTGAACTGGTGGCTGCAACAACATAAGAGTATTTCACCTTAGTGACATTTTCAAGTTTATAAAAATTGTCATTCAAGATATTTAAGCATCTTACTTGCTTTTTTACACTTCACATTTGAGATCTGGTTGCTTTTACCCAGCCTTATCCATTTCTGATTTCTCTTTTCTTTCATTCGTTCTTTTATATCACTCAGACTGTCTTTAAAGGTCTTTTTCAGGTGTTCAGCCATCTTCTACCTCTAGAAATATAAAAGGCAAATAACTCCATAAGCTGATGCAGCACAGTGCTCCCCAACACCAAAAAAAAAACCACACAGAAAAACTCGAGCGTCTCAGCAATGTGCGAGTACGTTGAAGGGACCAACAAATGCAGGAACTGCGCAGAAACGGTCATTTTCACTTGAGTTTTGGCCACGATCACTGTTGGAGCTGCAAAGTGGGACTTGCCCAAGAGCGGCTGGGAGGGAGGCACCAGTGGGTCACGGAGAGGCTGTCACCGACGGAGAGCAGGACAMGGCGGCGAGGCCCGCACCGTCACACGGGGAGCGGTAAACCCGCGCCAGCACCACCCGGACAGCGGCCGCCTCTCCCCCGAAAGGAGCGGTCCCGGGAGGCGCCTCCCACGCACGGCCCTGCAGAGACGATCCCGCCCCGGCCACTGCCCGCCCTTTGCCCACCGAGCGGAGGCCTCGTCGCGACCGGCCAGCGCCYCAGCTTGCCTGGTGGTAGCAGCAGCAGCCGCCGCGCTCGGTGTAGAGGGCAGCGGGGCAGCCCCGCGCGCGACGCGGCTGTTGGCGGTTGCGGCTGTTGGCAGTTACGACTGTTGACGGTTACGGTTGCGGCCGTTTCCTACCGTTCAAACCCGCCGCGGCGCCCTCGCATTGGCGCGGAACGGCGCGCACCCCATTACGTCACGACGCAGCTGCCGCCCTCATACGGGTCTTCGGTGGAGCCAAGCCCCGCCCCCGAGCGTGGGGAGCGGCGCCGCCCCGTCCCCGCTGCCTGTGTGCGCAGCCGCAGTTGGGGGCGCTCGCCCCGAGCCGCCCGCCATTTCCTCACATGGTGACCCGTGTGTGTGTGTGTGTGTGTGTGTGTGTGTGTGTGTGTGTGTGTGTGTGTGTGTGTGTGTGTGTGTGTGTGTGTGTGTGTGTTAAATAGCTAAATTGTAATGGGGCCAAAATAAGCAATTTTTTTTTATATATAGGAAGAAAATAAATGAAATTGTTTTATATATTTGGCCTTTCGAAATAGCCTGTGGCAGCAGATACCAAGATGAGCGTTTTTGAAATTTCCTGATTTAAGCTTGCCGTGAATCTGTTCTAAAATGCTGTTATATTTTGATATGAAAATGCTATGGAAGTGGTAGAGCTCAGGTGCTCCAAATGGCCCCTTATCGCTGCTGGCCCATGGATTGCAGCTTGAGGGAGAGSTACAGGATATGCTTGGTCATTTGATTTCAGTTACCAAACAAACTCTGCCTGTGTCATCCTGTAGACAAGGATGTGCTCTTTTCAAGCACTTAAAAAAAGTAACCTCAGGAAAAAAAAATAGTAGTAGCAGATCATGAAAAATAACTGCCGTGTGAGTTTACACCTAAAGGATCATGCYCCCTTTCCTCTCCCCCAAAATAAAAAGAAAAAAGACTTTTCTTCAATTATGTCATATTGTGACACTGGAGTAGCTCTGTAGTATATGCTTAAGTTTACTGGACACACACAGCTGAAGTTRTATTTATTTTCTGCTCTGTAACAGCAGGAAAAGTAACCCCTAAGCAACAGGCTATTAATAATAGTATATTTGGTATTCTTATACCTCAAAAATGAGCATCTTCCAGCATGTTGGGCTTGTGTTTTCTTTCAGTAAATAAGTTGCTCTGCAGTAACATTCCCTTATGCAGTGTGAAGATGCCCTTTTGAGACGGGAGATGATACCAAAAAGAATCATTATCTTCTTACGATCCAACACAAAGTTATTAGCAAATTAAATATATTAGACTTTCTTTTTCAGTTTGTAGTGTCACAAAGCCAAAGCAACACAATTWTACTTTCTCTTTACATCTACTTGCTCTATTCTGTCTGTCTTGCCTAGTCTACCAAAACCTACCAACCCTCCTGATCTCCAAATAAACATGCTAAAACCAAACATGGAATCCCATCAGCATGATACGAGGGAAGTAATGGATATTAAAAAAAATACTTAAAAAAAAGAGAGAAGTATTTTTTTTTTTAATAAGACTATACAACCCACTTTCCTACTGATGTCTGTCTCTTTTATAACCAATAATTAAGTATATTTTTCCACTCAACAGCAACTGAAAACCTCTGGAACCTTGCAAATAGTTCTATCTAAACATTACGCAAAATTATCTAATTGAACTAAGATTTTTTTTCCTTCTTGCCTTCCCTCCCGCTTTTTTTTCAGCTTAAATACTTACTTAAATACTTATTCTAATCGAAGTGATACCTTTTCTTGCAAACTTCTCACATTTAGCTACCACGTTTTGCATTTAGCCAGGCAGCAATTAGCTTTGCAGCAGTACTGTAAGGTTTCTAGCCGTTCATTTGCTTGACACACATACGCTGATTGGGATTAAATGAACTGTGCTTTGATTGAGAAGGAATGCTTTCTAATTGCTGTCTAAGGCCTAGTCTTGATTATTTATTTATTTATTTCGGAGCATATCTCTATCAAGGTAATTTTTTTTTTCTCTTTCCAGCACATTTAATGATTTCTACTCATTTAATGACTTTTTTTTTTTTTTTTTTTTTTT